TATGACTATGGTGTTTCAGGTTTCTAAGTTTCCCAGTACTGTGAATTCCAGGAGTGTATGCAAAACCAATTCCCAAGTAGCTCCATGCACTCATCATGCTCTACATGTGAGTTAATTTACAATGAACAGCATGCCATATACAATACCAGCTATTAGAACTGTTCCAGTCTTACTTTAGCACCAAATCCATAAGGGTTAGTACACAGTATAAATTAATAAACCAAATTGCAGCTGTAGTTCCTTAGTCTGGAGTCAATTTTCTGTCTGTATGTTGTTCTCTTATGGTGTCCCAGTACTGGGTAAGTATTTTAAAGCTATTTGTCCTTTGCTAGGCTACATAAGGTCCTGCACAATTTATTTGTTCAGTCATATAGAAATTAAAATGTTAATGCCAGAACCATGATATCCCAGGAAGCAGTTCAACTGTTTTCATGGTGCTGAGCCAGCCAATACCCTGTGCACTGGACAGTTAATCTGCATGAGAAGGTGATTGTACATCACAAAAAAGTGGAGCTTCATGCTCATACTGTTCATTGACATTTGAAATGTCAGTCACTGGATGAAAATGAAGCAATTTGATTTAATAATGCAGATGTCAAAATAGCAAAACATTTAGGACAATTATATTAAGAAATTGTCACCATCAATTTTATTTATTATTCTTACTGTGGCATTGTTTGAATACCATATTTTCCATTGTTGAGAAATGATAAACAGAGTAATTGAGCTGAAGATAAATCACTCATAATTCCATCTTTCAGTGTGGTGATTTGCCATTAATTCAGGCAGTGAAACAAGTAACATTGTTACATACTATGTCATGCTTCAAAATAATTTTTTTAATACCTTGTTTCTAAATGAAATTGCTATCAATCAATCAAACAAAAATATACACCATTCTACTTATGTGCTGTGTCAATGTCATAAAAACAGTATGTTCATTGCCTTATCAAGTACATAATGAAATTCAGCAAAAGTATTTCATTACGGTCTTCATGAGGATAATATGGCCTATCTCCTTCACAGATTAGTCAGCAGATGCATTACCCTAAAAGAGATTAAGAAGTCTGAATAGAACAATTTGAGTGGTGAAGAGGTAAGCCATGGGAAACAGAATAAGCCACCCTACAAAGGGGGTCCATCCACATCTTGTGTTTCCCATCAGGCAGTGAGGTTTCATGCCACTGCAGCATAACTTGGGAATCATGCTGGTTTGGGCTGCCATGGTGGTTTGACGCTGATGAGCAGTTGAACATCACCATATTAATCCTCCACTCTCCCTTCTCAAAAGGACAGGAGAGAATATGCCATGAAAAAAAAAAACCAAACCTGTTGCCTGGGATAAGGACAGGGAGATTGGTCATGAGTTGCCATCATGGGCAAAACAGACTCAGCATAAGGGAAGATGACATAATGTATTGCCTGTTGGTAATGCACTAGAAAGATAAGAATCAAGAGCAAACTAAAAACACTTCTGCTTACCCAAATTATTCTACATTCTCACCCAAGCAACACAGGGGAACAAGGGGAGCTCAGCTCTAACCAGCAGTGGATCCCTTTTCTAATCTGTCATGTGGCAACTTCTGGACTCTTCACAGAAAAGCTACAACCAAGCTAGCATTTCTTTAGGCACATACACTGTTCTTTCAGGTTCCCAGACTTAGCAGAGTTTAGAATTAGGAAGTAAATAACTAACAGTACAAGAGGAGAGAAAAAAATCTACAGAATTCTCTGTACTAACTGTATGGTCTGTTTCTAGAAATAATTTTACTGTCATACCTTTATGACTTAGATCAATGTTTTAAATGTTGATAAGTACTAATGATACTATTAATAAAGCTGAAGAGAGGATCTATTTTTCTTTGAAATATAGACAGCTTAGCGATTTCTAATGAGCATTGTGCTTTCTTACATTATTTATTGTCTGCAAAGCATGAGAATATATCTTTTTATTCATTTATCTACTGGTTGCTCTACCTAATTTCCCCTTGCTGTTTGAGATATTTTAAGAATGGTCCTAAGCAGAATAAACTTTCTCACTGTGTAATCTTTCATATGTTCTTGTGAGAATTTGTGAGTTCTCTCCTTGGTAAAAATGAGTTTTTTCTGTTATCGCTGGAAAAGCTATGGTACAACTTACTAATAAACATGTCAGTACACAAACCTAATCTGGCTTACAATTATCCCTTTCATTTAGCTGTGAATATTATCATAGAATCATTTCAGTTGGAAGGGCCCCTTAAAGGTATCTAGCCCAACTTTCCTGCAATGATCAGGGACACCTACAGCTAGATCAAGTTACTCCCCTTTCTTTCTTATAGCCTCCCTTTAAATACTGGAAGGTCTCCCTGGAGTCTTCTTTTCTCCAAGGTGAACCCCCCAGGTCTCTCAGCCTGTCCTCACAGGGGAGGTGTTCCATTTCTTGGATTATTTTTGTGGCACTCTTCTTGATGCGCTCCAATAGATCCATGTCTCTCCTGTACTGAGGACTCCACATCTGGACGCAGTACTCCAGGTACGGCTCCACCAGCACAGAGCAGAGGGGCAGGATCACCTTCCTCGACCTGCTGGCCATGCTCTCAGAACTCCCATTGCATGTTCAGGTGATGCACTGACACAGCCATGCTGGTGAAGCAGAAGGTTAGATTGGAGGGTGAGTCGGACAGAAGATGTCTGCAATGAAGAAGAGTAATTGGGCTTGATTACAGACAATCTCAGCTGTTTCTGAATCTATTGGGCACTCTCCTATGCTCAGGGACTGCGATATCTATGATGGGCGCATGATGAGAATGCATGATCAAGTGTTAATACAGTCTCCATCTGTAGGAGCTGATAGCCCTTAAAGAGCTGTTAACTCTTGATGGACCTGCTCTGGCTGGGATTTCCAAGATAATGGCTCTCCGACATCTCCCTTTTATCCCCAGGAGAAGCAGCCATCTAGCATTGCCCTGACTCCTCAGGAGTAACAACAGTTCTTGTATTTTCTACCCTTTCTTCCTGAAACACAGCTTTTAAGTTGAACTCCCTTTTGCTAACACATGTAAATCTAAAAGGAGTTCACAAGAATCAGTTTTTCATATAAATATGGGGTATGCCATAGCAAAAGAAAAGAAAAGCAAGTATGTCTTGCATTCACTGTGAAACTCAAGGACCAGTATAATTCTCCTCACCTTACCCACTAAGGACAGTAATCTCTTTAACCCACACCCCCCCTCTGACAGTCCTTTCTCTTTTCCTGGTGCTCTCAAAAGACTTCTGCCTTTAAGCAGTTATCCTTGCTATAAGCATCTTTAAATTGTAATTATCTAAACTTCTAGATTCTGATGGACCTCTTTGTCAGAGGGGTTCATGGAAATACGACTCCTGTTTGATGGAGCTGAATCGCTACATTAAGAATGCACTAAGGATATGATTCTTCATTCATTGTAGAAATCCTGCTTTACCAACAGATGAAATGAACCTAGCAACAAAATATGCATGCTTGTATACTCATGCTCCTGTATTTTACTTTCTGTCAAATAAAACTCCATATTTAAGAATACCATAGTCTGTGCACGTGTGTCACATGGGGAATTTAGACCTTACCCTGCTCACTTTCTACCTTCACCCTTCAATATCTCAAATGTTTGGATATCATTTGAACTAATTTTCCCAAAATACTTCTTTTTTTCAACTCTCTGTGTACGTGCCTCTCTGTCACGTGCAGAAGCCCTGCATGGAACAGTGTCAAAGAACAGGTCAAGGCCTGTTTTATTTACAAGCTGAGATGGCTTCAGTTTCTGCAGGCAGCTTGCATGGTCTGTTGTATGTCAATCAGCTGGCCAGCACACAGAAGACCTTTAACTTATGAGCATGTATAAAGATGGGAAGACAGGCTTGAGGACATTAAGAGACCTGCCTGATCTGGGATAGATATGGGTTGCCTAGTAGGACCAGAAACAGTCTTCTGGATAGTAGTGATGCTGTATCTAAAGAGTTTGTGTTTGATTCTGTAATCCACTCCCAAATTAAGCCAAAGCAGGAAGAAGACTCTGAGAACGTGCTGAAAGTGATGGGAGAAGAATCAGTTACCCTGGAGTGATCATAGCCAAATTCAACATCAGTGGCAGGGCAGTGAGATTTGCACCTGTAGATAGTGGTAAGCTTCATTTACCACGCTACACATCTTTGTCACATGTTAGAAAAGTCTGAGCTTTTCTCCTCCTCTGGGGTAGCGTGGTCACTAGCTAATGTCTGATCTATCATGCCCTCCTATCTCAGGATATATTTTGTCCTCCAGGTTAGCAAATCATCACTGTTTTTTGAACTCTGTTTTATTACAGTAGAGTTACATCAGCTCACCTACACTGGCTTCTTGCATTATGCTAGGAAAAGGTTCAGCAATAGCTGAAATGCTCCTGGCCTAGGCTTGAACCTTATTTTAAATACACATACCTCTCCTTTTCAACTTGGTCAGGAAAGATAGTATCATCTCTATACCTGCTATCTCAAGCAAAGCATTGGGTAAATATCAAAGATGTTAAGGCATGGCAAACATATCCCTTTTATGTTTGTGCACAGCACTAATGACACAGGGTGAAATTTATCCTCTTATCAAAGGTCAACACAAACTAGGCACTACTTCAAAGGCTCTTTGATCCTATAACTAATGCCTGGCACTGAACTGGATTTCACCAAAGTGCAAAACTTTCAAAATGTGATAGATATGATGTATCTGTGTAGAAAATAATAGTCCACTTAGATACACATACACAGCAATACACACTAGCTGTCCCAGTTTTGCTGGGAAAATATTGTGTACAGAAATAATGTGTAATATTTTTTTTTGTTAACAAATTTTGGACAGTTCCTCCTAGCCAGCTGTCCCTCCCTCCCACTTGATCAGCCAAAATATCCACACATTTTCTGCAACTGCACAATATTTACTCAAACTCTGTGTTTACCAGGAAGGAGGTGACAGTCCAGTGACCAAATATTTAGTACTGCAGATGATGCTTGGTTTAAAGGTGAAAGTAAGAGTGAAGGCATTGGAAAAGCTGTTATTTCAGGTCTTAAATAATAATGACAGCTGTTTATTATATCCTACTACATTCAGTCAAGGTTCTATGATATCAAAAAGGTCTTGCACGAAACAAAAATATGAAAGGAGTGGGAGAAGGCAGCAAAGCTAACAGTAGACCAATTTAAGATTGGTATCTTTTTGTTAATGGTCACAAGCATAAATGACTCTCTGCAGAGATGACAGAGGATTTTTATATTGCAAGTACAGTCATGCTAGGTGTGAAGATATGCACTGTAAGTAATGTAGGAGAAGATACGGCATCTGCAGTTTGTGTTTTTCTTTCGTACTTTTTCTCTGTGGTTGTATTTGAGCAGAGTATGCCAATATTTGCAGTCTGAGGAATAGCTTCGGGATGTCTGATATTTCTGCCTACTTGTAAAAATAATGAAAACACTTCAGCTGCTTGCTTGGTATCTTTGTATGAATTAGTCACTGGTCTCTGTACTCTCTAATTATAGACTGCCTTGATGTTACAAATACAGTGCATGAAGGAAAGACTTCACAAAATGTTTTTTTGTATCTCTTTTTTTTCTTGCCAGACAAATGGAGAAAAGCACTTTAAACACAGATCTCTGTTTGAAGCTGTTTTCTTCTTGGAAAGTGACTGGGAAAGCTAATATGATTATAGTGGTATCAGCAAAGATGGATTAAGAGGTAATTTGCTAAGAAGACATAAACCTACCTGATAACACATTCATCCTTTAGTTCTTAGAAAACTGGTGGTTTTTTTACCCATAAAGAATCTTTACATATCTTATCTGAATATTTTTAACATCAGTTGCTATACATATGGAAACCAAAGGCAGCTAAAACCCATGTGCTATGACTCACTGTACAATTTATAATTTATTAAACTGTTATTTTCACAGAATTAAGTCAGAATTCCTTTGTTCAGTCATGTACATGATTGCTTTGGGGGCTCTGATACATCAAACTCTGACAGCAGCGAGCATAATTTTCACCTGAATATATCCACACTTCTTGTAAAAGCCAATGTTTGTTTTGTTTTGCCTTATTCAAGAGTGTATTCATTAGTTTACAACATTTTGTGAGGCTTTCTAAGATTTAACCTAAGAATGACTAGAATCTGTAAGAATCAGAGATTCCCTGAAGATGCTATTATGACACAAAACACCGAAGGAAAAATGTATATTTCCGTAAAAGATTCAAGACATAGCATTTATTTTTGTGCACTGAAGCAGCTATCTGCATGTATTGGGGCCCACAGTGGTAAAGACACAATAATGAACATTAACTTGTTTTTCTAAGTTAGCATACTTATTAGTATATGATAAATTTATAATCCTCCATTTTATAATGCATTTGGAGCTTATAAAATGTGGCAGTAACATCCTCTAACACTGAACTGGAATGGCTGGTTCTGATATAGATGGTAGTATCCAGGTGGAAGGGTTTGATCTGTACAAATATATACGATATTTGTGATATATGAATAGGGTAAGTGAAAAATGAATACAGCAGGTAAGGTAGCTGGCAACACTGAATTAATACATTGAAGGCCAGGATACAGCTGAACAACTTATCAGCTATCCATTGGGTTAATATTAGGTCTGTCCCAGCTCTGAGGAAGTACATGTTATGATAAAGCTTTTTGACTGACTTAGAATCATAGAATGGCTTACTTTGGAAGGGGCCTCAAGGATCATCAGTTTCCAGCCCCCCTGCCATGGGCCAGCTGCTAAATCAAGTTCTAGATCATATTGCCCAGAGCCCTATCCAAACTGGCCTTAAATATCTCTAGTGGAAGGAGTGCTCACAACCTCATTGGGCAACCTGTTCCAGCAACTCACCGCTCTCTCAGTAAAAAATTCCTCCTGACATCAAATCTAAATCTCCATTCCTTTAGTTTAAAACCATTCCCCCTTGTCCTAGCACTATCTACCAGTGTAAAAAGCTGATTTCCTTCAAGTTTATAAACTCTCTTTAAATAATGGAAGACAGCAATGAGTTCTTCCTGCACCTTTAATTTTTTTTTTTTTTTTCCAGACTGAGCAAGCCCAGTTCCTTCAGTCTATTTTCATAGCAGAGATGCTGAAGCTCTCTGATCATCTTCATGGCCCTCCTCTGGACCCTCTCCAAAAGCTCCACATCTTTCAAGACTTCTTGGCTAGCAACTGAAGAAATAGCATTTCTATTCCAAATTTTATTAAATTTCTTCAATCACAGTGAGCATGTATTAAAAACTAAGTAAATAACATTTTTGTGCTAAAATAACTGAAAGTTGATAACTGTATAGTAGCCTGGTTCTGGCAGCTTGCAATCTTTGTTCTTTTCATTGACAAGCAATCACAGCTACGTTTGATCTCATGCTTCAGTTGGTATAACACAAAAAGTTATTTGTGAAAAAACATAGCAACATCCTCTTATTTAAGCCCAATCTGCTGCACCAGCTCTGCTCAGCGTTCACCTCATTGTTAGTTCTTTTGTAAAAAAGATGATCTTTTAAAATAGGGTATCTGTCAAAATAAGAAGTCTTCCAGCTGGGGACCAGACAAGAAACTGATTTCATACACAGTGTAAAATACCTACATATGAATTACACACATAGAATAAAAATTTGACACTATGTGAAATGCTGAAGTAGTGTCTGTATATGAAGAACAGTAAATTACAAAAGATGTATAAATGTTTATTTCAGAATGCCACTAAACCACAAACTCATTTCTGAACTTCCACCTAACTATTGGCTTTCACTGAGAAAACAAAAAGAGTGAATAAGAACACATTCCTTATCAGTAAAGGACATATTTGAAATGCCTGCAAAATACTAGTAGGATTAGGAAACTTGGGAATGGGGCCGAGGCCACTATTAGGCAGGATGAGGAACTCCTTCGTGTAGAGCAGGGTGGGTTGAGCAGAGAGAATGGAGAGCAGCCTCCTGTGTGGATAGAGAATGATTTCTGGGAGCATGAAGAAATGGATCTGATTTTACTGAACCATACAAACCTTCCTCTAGTAAAACTTCATATAAATATATGATGTATGTTTGCATCTGGTCAGAAATCTAAGTAATCCTAGATAGCTCTGCTTGGAAAATATAAATTCATTGGGCTTAAAAAGTAATTTGGAAAATGTTTTCCTTCTGAGTTGGGGTAAAAAGTAAAATAAACAATCCTCCCTCCCAGCCCTAAACATTATGTTTAGTTATTCACTTCAACAGAAAAAGCCTTCTGAAAAATCTGTTCACAGAGAGTTTTGGCTTACTAGTTGTCTCCCTTTCCAGAAAGTACAGCTTAGTTTTCTTTTCTTTTCTATAAAAGAAATTATTAGTCTTCATCTGGGATTACAAAGAAGCTAAATGAGTAGTCTTTTTTGTCCTGCTTTTTTTTTTGTTGATGCCCAATTAGGACATTTTGTCATCTTTGAGTCTTTCCCCAAAGGCTGAAATGCTGCAAGATATAATATGTATTTGTACCTCTCTTCTCTGTAAAAAAAAAAAAGTATAGAACTGAAAATAACCACTGGAAAATTCAGTTCAATGGAAATGACACTTTCAGTTTAAATGAAAACAACCTTGATGAAAAATTGTTGGCTAGCTCACACTTCAAGTCTTCTCCAAACATGTCACCTACTCTTTAGATATTTACCACTAACATCACATGCCTCAGAAGGAGGAAAGCTGACTTCTCTGTAAAGTTCTCATTTTACATTAAGCCATATATTGAAATGCTGCCATACCCCTTGACTCATTGGCATGGTGATGATTCAAGAGCAGTAAGTTATCATAACAATAACGTGGTAGCAACTTTCTGTGACATTTGCCAGTTTATCATTGAATACATCAGGAGGGACATGATGCCTGTTGTTATTTTTCGTAATTATTTTTGAATTGCATTTGATGCTTCACTCATTAGGATCTGAGAATCCTGAGATCGCACATTAAGAGGTTTCAAAGTTTTATTAGGAATTTTAAAATATCAAGTATTTTGACCTTCTTGCATTTCTCAACAAAATCTTTCTCCATACACTGCAGTGAAGGTTTCAGAATATTTTCCTTTCAAAACCTTTCATAGATTCATACTTTCATTGTCATTCAAAATAGTACGTATTATTACCATTCTATCCATATGTGCACCAAAACTTTTCCTGAAAAATACAGAAGGCCATAGATGCTCATTTAAACAGAGCTTTATGAGTTAGACTTCAGTTCAGATATGAGATAATCATTGTTAATATCAACAATTTAATATCAATATTGGAGATGGCCATCACCTATACAGCAACTAGTTTCTTTGCTAGAGTACTGGATGAAAAAACTATCTTAGCCCCTCTTCATAACACATAAAAAGTTTCTACAAAAGATAATATTTGAATGAGGATAAAAAATTCCCCATTTAAAATGTCAAAGAGTGTATATGATATTTTTCTCTCTTCTCTGTACCTTTTCTCTTACTGAGTTTATCAATAAGAAAAAAAGTGAATTTTTATAGGGAAAATATTCAGTCAAAAAGCAATCTGTTCTCTTTTTGCTAGAGATAATGAAGGACAGAACTCAAAGTCAGACAATGCACAAACATGAAACTGGACTAAAATGAAGATTGGAAAAAAATCAAGACAAGAATTATCAACTAAAAGAGGCCACTTCATGGAAGTATAGTAGAGGTTCACTCTCCGTTTTGAGAATGGAGATTTAGAAGGGTAAAACGTGAAGACAAACAGGCACATAGGAACCAATAATATGATTTGTGATTAAAAGAGGCTACTCCTCAAAATGAAATCAGTAACTGGGCAGAGACACAACTGTGAGCATAATGCCAGTGATGAACTACATCAAAGAGAGGAGCAGAGTCTCAGAAGTGCAGAAGAGTTTTGCTGTGTGTTAATTTTTTTTATTTTTTTATTTTTTTGTCCTGGAATGACAGAGCTTTCCTTGCTTTGAGCAAAAGAATTGTTACCATGAATCATCAGCATATCACTAATCAACTGTGAAAGAGAAACATGGAAAACTGAGACAGATGACCCAATACTGAAATGATAAACAGTCCACACTAAACTTTCACTGTAGTAGTCTCTTCATTCTTCAAAGTTGACTGTCTTCCTCAGTTTTGCACTTGTGAGGAGTTGGTAATGATATTTTAGCCTTCAGTGTCACTTTGTGAATATAGCATAACTTTGGGGAACAACAGTTCCATATTTTCAGTGTCTTGTCTCTCTCATTAGGAAATCAGAAAATGTTCTTGTCAATGTCTCAGGAAGATGATTATGCAATAAAAGGAATGTATTTATCAATCACAGGCATAAACAGATAAATGGAGAAGATTTTTCTTTTTTTGCTTACAAAAAATAACACATCTGTTAATATACTGTGTCTGGAAAAATGCATGCGTCATCCTATGTTTTTTTAAGATAGCAACATAAATTTATAATCTAATTCTGTAAATCTATGTACACTGCATTAAATTTAGGAAAAAATTTCTTTGATAACTAACTGCAAAATTAGTGTCATTTCTAACAGGAAAGAGCATATTTATAGCTGAAACACACTGTGGCAAAATGTCCTAAGAACTAAACATAATGGAATGAATTTTAATTATTAAAAAAATAAGTAATTGAAGGAATGCTAATTCTCCTTTTTACTAGGAATGAATATGTGCTCCAACTAAATGTAGTACAAATGCATTGAGGAGTCTGATAGTACCTTTACAGGAGAGTTTATGAATGTATTTTTCTTTTTTCTGCAAGTGTAATAATAAACTTTGGCAAATAAAGGTAAATAAGGAAAATTGACTTACCTTTAGAAAAAATGGCCCTAAAACATTTTAAAGAACTATTATGAAAGAAAGACTAGAAATAGCTGATAGTGCTGAAATTATTACAATCACATACTAAGAACATGAAGAACTTAACAAGAAGAAATGAATCTCACTGATTAGATAGTTGATGAGCATTTCCAGAATTACAAATGGCAATTTTTCAGTCTGCAGTAAAGATTAAGAAAAAAAAAACACAAAAAAAGTAGAAGTGCAGAATTTCTGAAAGATATAAACCAGCTGCACAGTGATGAAGTAGGAAAATATGTTATTTGCATTTCAGACAATTTTGGCTGTAAGTTTGTAACAAGTAATTGGATGAATGAAGTGCAGAAGAAAAAAACCAATGAGTAGCTTCATCTATAATTTGACTTTATTTTTTTTATTTGATCTTAGATTAAGGAAGAGACCAAACAATCAAGTGTTTAGATTGATGTCCATGAAAAGATGAAAATAGTCACAACTGGAAAATGGGAAAAGACTGGAGTTAGATGATGTTCCAGTAATGTATATTATTAAGCATAATTATACATATGGTAATTGATATGAACCATTTAGGGCTGTTTTTTTTTTTTTTTCCCCCCAGTTTCTTAGAAATATGGCATTAATTTTTACAGGAAAAGAGGATATCCCAGAATTCCGTCAATACAACACTAATATGTTCTGTAAGTCCATGAGTGCATATGCTTCTAGCTATTTGAATATGATGCAAATTCATAGAATCACAGAATGGTTTGGGTTGAAAGGGACCTTTAAGATCATTTAGTTCCAACTCCCCTGCTATAGGTAGGGACATCACCCTCTAGATCAGATTGCTCAAAGCCCCATCCAGCATGGCCTGGAATGCCTCCAGGGAGGGGGGCAACCACAACCTCACTGGGTAACCTGTTCCAGAGTCTCACCACCCTCACGGTAAATAATTTCTTCCTAATATCTAGTATAAATCTATCCTCTTCCAGTTTAAAGCTGTTTCCCCTTGTCCTGTTGCTACATGCCCTTCTAAAAAGTCCTTCCCCAGCTTTCCTGTATGCCCTCTAAATTCTTCCAAATTTGTAAATAAGTAAATTTGTAAATACCTAATTTAAATTGTTCTCCGGGCCATTACAGGAACATACAATCTTCACGAAAGCTTTGTCTTCTGTATTTTGAAATCCATTTTCTGAATTTGTTTTCCTGACAAACCAGAAAAGAGATGTCTCTTGTCACTCCACACAAAATCAAGGTATTAGCCACATTGCTTAGTTAAGTTCTCTTTGATATGTCTGTCCATCCTGAA